GGAGGAGTGTTGCCAGGCTAATGACAAGCGGGGACTGGCCACCGTCAGTACGAGACATCCTTGACCGGCGTTGTAGCACTGAGCTGCTGTCGGAAATGACAAGCTTCTCGTTTTGAATGCGCTAACATAACAATCTTGAAAAACAAACACCCAGGTCAACCGGCACCATTTGTCAGAGGAACAACTAACATTCCGAACTCAGCTGCACTGAGCCAGCCAGTCAGGTACGCTAGCTAAAACACTTCCTGGTCACAAGATAAAATGTGTCATGATGACATGACAAACACGCGCAATTGCAGCCTGTTAACGAGCAACATTAATGCGTTCTCACTTGTCCCTGATATTTTCCTGCACAGTAACATAAAGTGGTGTTTTTCATGGCGTTCATGCTGACATCTGTGTCACGTGACGAGAAAGCGACTACGGTGGCCGTGAAGCACTTAAGTAACAACCTTATTACTCTATTATTTTGTTACCGGTACATGGAAATGAAAGTGTTTTTACTCGACTGTATTTGTTTTTAGAACCACTGATTTATGATAGATAATTGTATATATGTAGAATACACATCTACAAATTTAACTTTTTAAATGTATATATTTTTTTCTGAGCAGGACCGAAAGCAAGGAAACTATGGATGCCTATGGACAAAATCCATCCTTTCTCAGAATTGCTTACGATATTATTGAAAACAATGCTTTCGACACTTCAAGATTGTACTCAACACAGATATTTTAAAATGACTCAAATGTCATGTGACTTTTTCAATAAAATCCGTGAGCACTGAGTGGCGCACTTGAGGCGGTAACCATAGAGGCCGAGGCCGTTTCTCCATTTCATTATCCATTTTCCGACCTCGAAAATGTGGATGAAGGACAGGAGGATGTTTAGGTTTTTGTTTCGCCAGTGAATATTCTTGTTTTACGTTGTAACTGACATCTTAAATAATGGGTTTAAATCAACTGACAGTGCTGTCGTTGTTGTTTTTGTTGTTGTTGTTGGGGAGCGGGTGGGGGGTGTCAGGTTGACCGGTCTGTCATGTCATACTGGAATATGATATATTTTCAAGAATCCCTGGATATTATGTAACTTTCAACTACCCGAAAGCAGTGGTTCCAAAACTGCAGTCCCGAAACCAATGTCTGCGAGCTGTAGCAATAAATTATGCTATTATGTTTAAAATGTGAATACAGTACCTTCATATTGGGATCTGATTGGAAATAAAATAAACCAATTACTCCTCCTACCATAGCTTTGGTACAATTAAAAGCCCCGGTGTAGTTACAGTATCATATATTGCCCCATAAATCTGACATTTTTGCATAAATTAATGTGTTATTATTATTATTATTATTATTATTATTAGTAGTAGTAGTAGTAGTAGTAGTAGTA